CATTGCATGCTTTTAAGTAGTCGTTGGTGAGCCACTTCTTTTACTTTTGGTGTTTGTTGTTTTATGTTTTTGCTGTTTTTACTTTTCTTTGCTTTGTGCAGCCTCTTTGCTTTGTGCAGCGTCTTTGCTTTGTGCAGCATCTTTGCTTTGTGCAGCATCTTTGCTTTGTGCAGCAGTTTATGCTTACGAACTCTGGTATCTCTGTGATCCTGAGGATTGTCAGTTGTGTGTTAGTGTTGTTTTCCGCCAGCAGTAGTTTGTATTTGTACCTGAGGAGCTTCGAGTATTTGGTTGCTGCGTTCCTGGCATGCCAAACAGCAGGGAGAGGCAAGAGCGATACCAGAGACTCCAGCAGCGTCGAAACATCTGGATGAGCAGCCAGCCGACATCCCGTGAAGTCTCCCCAACACCACGCCGGACACCAGGTGGTTCTGACCCGGATGTACGCGAGGCTGTCCAGATGATGGTCACAGAAGTAACCATGTTTGACCAGATCATGGAGAAGATCAACTCTCTAGTCGCAGAAGTACGAGAGTACAAGGAGCAGAATGATGCCCGACTACAGCGCCATGAAGAGGCCCTTGAACATCGCATGCAGGAAGGCACTCTAGATCAAGAACAGCCAGCAGACAGTAACCTCCATCAGCCACAGGAGAGAGAACTAGACCAGGAGGATCCAGTTCAGCAACTCCGTCGCCAGCTGGAGGAACGCAACAGGGAGCTGGAGGAGACCCGCCTTCAACTACTGCGGATGAACGCTGCGCCCGTGCTTGTGGTACATACCCGAGAACAGGAAATTCAGGAGTTCCCACCCGCCAACGACTACAGGGGTCAGGTGTTGCACCAACCCTATGGAATGTGCCCAAGACCAAGAGATTCAAGAGCTTCGTCGTCAACTTCAGCAGCGGGACCAGAAGCTAGCAGAGGTCCGCCGTCTCGCCCCCTCAGTACAACATACCATGACTAGGTGTCAAGACCACCATGGACCTCAGGTGTCAAGAAGCTCTCCTCCTCAGCCTCTTCCTTGGAGCCGCCCCCACACTCCAATACCAGAGCAGCAGCTGTATCCTGAACGTCGACACACGTATGACCCACAAACATACCTGCCGCAGCAGTTCCAGCCTAGGTCTTCGCCCCAGTGTCCCCAGTCAGCACATCCTTCGTCTCAGTTGTCTGGCACACCATTTTCCTATGTGTTCAAGAAGGAAACTGTCCCGCACTTCAAGGGGGATACTTCTGCCTCACAGCCGCTCAAAAAGAACCAAGCAATAGAGAGTTGGATTCGGACAATTGAGAACATTGTGAAGCCAGCCACGTCAGAGATGTTCATTCAGGCAGCGCGGGCAAACTGCAGGGGTCCAGCCGAGCTAATCATTAATTCCCCTCTCTTCGACTCAATCACAGAATGGGACACATTCAAGGCAGCTCTCCGTAGTAAGTTCCGAGGAACCTACACCTCGGACTTCTACAAGGTTCTATACGACATCCGGATGACACCAAGCCAGGCACCAATGGACTTCTTTTTGCAGTTGGAAGGGCACGTTTACCAGGGATACAGGGATCACTGCAAGGCCATCGGTGATCCATCCGAACTAGTGAAGAGGGTCTTCCTGAGTGGCATCCCCGCATGGCTCCAAGACTTCCTCTCTGTAAAAGAAGATGGTATCCCAACCCAGATAGCCGAAACAGCACAGCGCATCTGGAATTCACACAATGGCATAAGGCATAGTGATACTTCACCAGCAGAGGAAAATCCCTACCACCCTAATCGCCCTCCACGGGGTCGGGATTTGTATGCTATGCCGGTAGCTGCTGAGCGCTCCAGTGCATCGTATCATCGATCACCTGTCAGGGAGAGGTGGTGTGAGCATCATCGGGTAAGAACTCACGGTACATCTGAGTGCAGAGCCAGGGCTGAGATCCTAGATCCACGGTCTCCGCGACGACGATGCTACCATTGCAGAGGTCCAGGACATTTGGTGAGAGATTGCCACTTTCGTGAGCGCTAGGGTGACCAAGCTCCAGGAACTGCTGGCAGGTTCGATCCAAGGAGCACCTCACATGGAGACGTTACCTCTCAAGAAGGGAATGGTAGTGACAGGGCCTACCGGACGGCCAGTTGCGGAACTCAGTGTTAGTGGTTCTTCAATCCACTGCTTTATTGATACAGGATCCGAAGCATCAATTATTAAACCCCAAGCTCTCAAGCAGATTGATCCTCATAACCACCTACGTTGGAGGAAGACTTAAAGCATTCTGCGAGGCGTGTCTGGTCGACCAATCAACACCCTGAGTGAGGTAACCCTTGTTTGTTGCATTAACTCAGACCTTGAAATGCACCATACGGTCACTGTGTGTGATGTACGATTTCCTGGAGACATACTCCTGGGGATGGACTTTTTGAGAAGAACCACCTTTAGCCTGTCCTCAAGGTCCCAGGATGACAGCGCCTGCCTGACTTTAAAAGGCCAGGAGTTTCATGTGAATTATACTGATGCCCAATCCCTGCAGCTGAGTGTAGTGAGAGTGACCACACCAGAAGTTCCAGAGAATGCTGAAGTGAGCCGCTTTTCCCTGTCTCACTTGTCACCACCCGACATCTCTTCCGCTGTACACCTTCCACCACACAGTGGGCGTTTCTTGGAGGGTGTAGTGGCAAGGTCTTGTTCTGTTGATGGGGACGTTTTGTTTGCACCGCAAGTAACAGCTGTGTGCATATCACCATATGTGCTGAGTACTGTTTCGAGACGGCGATGCCCTGTGTGGGCAGTCAACAGCACAACAAGGCCAATTCGATTAACACAGGGGACATGTTTGGGGATGGTATCTGCTGTCGAGGCTGTTTTTACGGCAGAAACCTCAGCCTCTGAGACTTCCGACTACAATGCCTGCAACTCTGCTTGTCCAGATTTGAGTGATGACCAAAGGGAAGATGAGGATTTCCAGTGGGAGGAAGACCAGTTTGACAGAACCTTTGGGATAGAAGATTTTGGTTATGGCAGCACTGCCACTGATGTTGCTGATGATCTTCCGCCATCACAAGCCCTTGCCGCAATCGAAGCTGCTAATATCCCAGATTACCCATTGCCCTTGGAGATTGAATACCAGATGCCTGATCTGGATCACTTAGGAGAAAATCAACGCCAGGAGTTGCTGAGACTTCTGTGTAGTTACAGTACCCTTTTTGATGGAGGTGAGGATACTGTGGGCCACATCCCAGGCATTCAGCACAGGATTAATACAGGGCAAGCAACACCTGTATCTACCTGCCAGTGGCGTCTCCCGCAAGCAACCCGTCAAACAATACACATGCGCTAGGGACCTTGGTCCAGTACGCCCAGGCTATGTGCCATGCTGGATCAAGGATTGCTGTTACTTCGATGCGCTAGGGACCTTGGTCCAGTACGCCCAGGCTATGTGCCATGCTGGATCAAGGATTGCTGTTACTTCGATGCGCTAGGGACCTTGGTCCAGTACGCCCAGGCTATGTGCCATGCTGGATCAAGGGGTTGCTGTTACTTTGATGTGCTAGGGACCTTGGTCCAGTACGCCCAGGCTATGTGCCATGCTGGATCAAGGGTTGCTGTTACTTCGATGCGCTAGGGACCTTGGTCCAGTACGCCCAGGCTATGTGCCATGCTGGATCAAGGATTGCTGTTACTTCGATGCGCTAGGGACCTTGGTCCAGTACGCCCAGGCTATGTGCCATGCTGGATCAAGGATTGCTGTTACTTTGATGCGCTAGGGACCTTGGTCCAGAACGCCCAGGCTATGTGCCATGCTGGATCAAGGATTGCTGTTACTTCGATGTGTTAGGGACCTTGGTCCAGTACGCCCAGGCTATGTGCCATGCTGGATCAAGGATTGCTGTTAGCTGTGTGCTAGGGAGCTTGGACTCAGTGCGCCTTGGCCATGTGCCACGCTGGTTCAAGTGCTGCTGTTAGCCTGCTGTAGGGACTCTATTGTCAGTGCGCCCTTGGCTGTGTGCCACACTGCAGTAGATTGCTGTTCGTCTGTTGGTTCCACTGCACCACGTCGTGTCCTGAGAGTGTTGAGACCATCCAGATGCAACCAGATGTTACCAGATGCTCCTGATTTTTATTTTATGGTGATGGGATTTTTATTTAATATTACTGTTTTTATGATCACCTGTCAAACTTATGTCCGCTCCTTTGTGTTTGTCAGGACTCAGGCTTGCTTTTATCTTCCAGGTCTCCACTGTTCGCTTCGACCCAGAGTGGGGAGGAATTCTGTAAGGTGGTCTTGGATGCTGCATCTCATCCTCTCCACTCTCCCGCTCTGACTGCCGTGTTGGAGGATTGTCTCGCATGTCTCACCTCAGTTTTGGGTTGTTTGTTCATCAATCTTGATTTTATTTACTTTTATTGTTTTATTTTAGTTTCCCCTTTTTATTGTGTTGTCTCTGAGCTTTTTTAATTTATGATTTAACAACGAGACATTTTTATGACCTTTTTATCTTCAGCTTTTATTCATTTTAGTTTTTTTTAACATTCAGTAAAGTTTTAAGGTCTCGTTTTTACTTGGTTTTCATTTTAAGTTGCAGGGGAAGCATTTTTACATACAGTGTTTATTTGTTCTTTTTTAGTTATCGCTTTTCTTTTTCTTATGATTACTATTTTATACTTTTAGTTTTATTTTTGCTAATTTTTATGCACAGTTTTAGTTTATTTATTACAAGAATACATTTTGTTAAAATGTTCGGCCTCTGACGTCACCGGGGCATTGTAACAGTAGAAATAAACAGTACGAGTCGAGACGTCAACGAATGTGTTTCGTTACCCTCCGAAGCTTTAAACCACCAGCAGTGTCGCCATATTTACTGAACACAGAGACGATCACGGATCTTGCATAGGAGCTGGACGTGATCTTAAGAACATTTTTATTGAATAATTAGAACACCCTTTTATTTATTTATTTATTTTAAATGAACTTGGCTGGTTTTTTTTTCTCTGTTTTTTTGTAACTTTTAACTTTTCAAAGTAGGAAGTCTGAGTGATCTTTTAGTTTTAGTTTTCCTGTTTCGGTGTCACCATACTCGGGCTTTATACTGTCATATTTTTTTTTCTTTTAGGTTTAAGGGGTTTTAAGCCTTTAGCTCTGACGCCAGACTTGCTGGTTTTGTCTTCGTTTTATGGTAAGGCCTTCAGGCAGGCTCTCCACTCTGGAAGTCTTTTCTTTGAGTTTTTGCATACGATAGTCAGTAATTTTAGGTGCCTTTAGCACATTCTTTTACTTTTGTGTTTTTCTTAGATGACTTTTTAGTATGTACTTTATCATATGGTTAGGCTGAACATCAGAAAGTGGTATTCACACAGGAACAACCCTATTAATGATTCAGTTTCCCTCCACGCTACCACTTAAGGGGATTGAATTGACAGGGGTTAACCAGGTCTATTGGCGCCTGTATCCCCCGCCAGCATTCAAGGGAGGGCAGAATTCTAAGAGTGCCTTGATGAACTGGGAAGCGACCCCTGGGTTAGATGGATCACACTACAATATATATATATATATATATATATATATATATTATATATATATGTGTGTGTGTGTGTGTGTGTGTGTGTATGTATATATATATATATATATATATATATATATATATATATATATATATATATATATATGTATATTATTATATATATATATATATATGTGTGTGTGTGTGTGTGTGTGTGTGTGTGTGTGTGTGTGTTGTGTGTGTGTGTGTGTGTGTGTGTGTGTGTGTGTGTGTGTGTGTGTGTGTGTGTGTGTGTTGTGTGTGTGTGTGTGTGTGTGTGTGTGTGTGTGTGTTTATGTG